GTTTTTTGTTTTTTGTTTTTTTTTGGTACTCGGAATAGAACTCATGACTTCATGTTTGCCAGGCAGGTGCTTGTGCCACTGAGCTATTTCCCTGGCTCCAAAAAATCTTTTTAATGATCATACAATGTTAAGTGAGACTTGCTTTAGAAAAATCTGTAAGAAAGATTACATGTGTGTATATACATCACAAAGAACCACATGAGGACCTATGTACTTGTGTGAATATGTACATACATGTAAATATATATCTATGTGTATATAGACATGTGCATTTATATACGTGACATGCCCTTCTCTATGCTCATTTCCATCCCCAAGGGGCACCAGAAGTCCAATTTTCACACTGCAATCAAAGCGCACTTTTCAGTAAATGAATCTTCACACACGTCTCCTCCCAATTCCTGCACCATCACCAACTCAGACCCTGGATTCCATGCTTACAGTCCCAGAGGCACAGCACCACAGCACGGCCATTCTCCAGGCCAGGGCTGCCTATTGTGTTCCCTACAGGGGACACTTCCTCTTCTCAGGTACCCACCAAACCTCCCTCTTTACTAAAATAATCACTGACTGCAGGGCCTCCTGAGCACCTCGAGGACAGGTGGCTCCACTGTGCTTTCTTAGCATCTTGCCAAATCTTGGCAGCCAGTCAGCCACAGACTTTAAAAATCTCCAACCAAGTCTCGGTTCATTGACATGCTGGATTGTTGTTAGGCTTATTTCATATTCTGGTGGACTGAAGTTTATATTTCATTTCAGTAACACCGAAGCCTTGTTTTTAAACCATTCTCTTTGGAAAAAAAACCTTTGAGATACACCACCATGCTTTCCCAGCTTACTAATATGACAAAAGAAATTCAGTTCATACTTTATTTAAAGGCATTTTAATGCTTTGAAGTCTTCATTTTGATTTGTTTTAAGTGAATACCCTGGAGGGACTTGCTTTTTCATTAGTTGCTTCTTTCTACTAAATAAAATCTTGGAATAGAAAATCAGGATGACTGATGGTTCCATTTTATCCTAGTTTGTGTATCTATCCAACAGTAGAAAGGAAACTGAGAGATGCCAGTTAGAAACTAACACAAGGAAAAATCTTGTTCAAACAAACAAAGCCTTATTGTTCCTTTAGAAACGTTACCATCTATTATACACAAAAGGTTTTATTTTTCGGCAATAAAAGACAACTGACTACCTAAAAGTTTGCAATATCCTTCCAGTTCCTATCTCATCAAAAATCAATGAAATCTGAATCACAATCGCCGTGCATAGCTGAGCTGCCAAATTTCTTGCAGTCATAGACAAGTACCCAAATTTTAACCTAGCCTACATATTGAGCAGATATTAGACTCGTTTCCCTATAATTTCACAACATCATCAGATAATTCCTTCTCTGCATGATTATATACGACATTAATGTCTCCATTCTCTCCTATCTTTAAAAATTTATTACTTGATCTTATCTAAGAGTTTAATTTTCTTTTCACTGGTTAGGCATGGACTGGATATAAAAATCAGAAATTAATGACACAAAATAGTAACCTCAGACTAAATAAAAGCCAAAAAAAAACCAAGACTGCTTTTTTTCCAGCATTATTGCTGCTAGAGAGATAACATAGTGAGATGGTTTATGGCTGTGAGATAGCATCATGACCTGCAGTTTTATTGATTCACCTTGAAACAATTTGCCTACCAGAGACTGCCTCCCTGACATTTTCGTATGCCGCATCGAGAACCTGAAATACTGCAGGGGGTTTCTTGCTGAGCCCTTTCCTTCAAAGGCATCCCTCTTCTTAAGTCTGTTTTTCCAGGGCACTGAGAGCACTCCAGAAAAGGAAATCAAGTCCTTCTTCTGAGATGCCACCAGTGGTTTTGTATTGAGAGCAAGGAAGCTGTGGACCTTAGCAGGGCATTCTGCATCCTTCCTGAACAGCCTCACATCTCACCACTCTCTTCAGAGCTGTGAGCATCGCCTGTCATGCTAGCTCTCGGGGCCACGAGTCATGTATGCCTTTCTCTAGTGCATCCTGTGGCCTCGTCTGTCAGCTGCTTTGCTGCAAGTGTCTGGTGCACGTGAAAATGGAACAGGAATATGTTTTTGGGAAATGTTACATGAGAATAAGTAGACTGAGAAAAAAGATAAATGTGTGTCTTGTATTTCCTGATTTTAGTGAAACTGCCTTTCAAAAACACCTAGAATTATGAATGCACACTTTGAGGTAATTCACTCAGTTAACAAAAGTGGAGAGTTTATTAGAAAGAAAGCTTGTTCCAGATACAGTACAGCAAAGTTATTAGCAAGATAGGAATGGGCAGCTGTCAATGCTGCACCTTGCTGCAGAGACAAAGAGAAGTGGTTAAATCATTAAGAGACCACTTCAGATAAAAATCCCTAGCAAGAAGAACACAACATAGAACTGTAAAGTAGAAAGTTTGCAGGGAAGGAATGGTCTGGTTTAGATTGTATGGTACAGTTTCTTTAAAGCTAATACCTTCAACGAAGGAAGTGGTCTTGGCCCTAAGAAGAGTGTAAGAAAATATTCCAGCAGCAGGAACCACAGACTCAAAAACCTTGAGATGGAAATCAATTTGATGTTCAAGAAATAGGAATGGAGCCCAGAAGAAGGGGAGAGGAGGAGACAAAAATCACACCATGCTTCAAACGAAAATAAACAAGCTTGAGGAGCAGTGTGGGTCCACTGGTCAAGTACAAAGTGTACTGCCTGCTCTTCTGGACAGGATTCCCATCACTTTTTCCAAAATGTACCTCCTTCCCCTGGGCACCCTTGGAGCTTGACCGAGAGAGGATGTCGGGAACTTGGAACCAAACCTTCGTTCAATTTTTATAAAGAAGAAAGATGAGGAAATTACAAAGATCCTATGAAAGTGGGCAGTAACACCGAGGGGGAGGAGATTCTCAAATCAAATTGTTCTTAAGAAGTACTGTGTTCATTGAGAATTAGTCAGGTTGAGTTGATTAGAATGACTGCAATTATCTAACATCTAGGGAGAGATGAGTATTTGGGTATGAAATTTCATTTTTGCAAGCACTGATGATTCTACTAATAGCATTTGCACCCTCAGTAAACTTTACCCTTTCATGTACTTACAAATGCTGTTAAATGTTAGGATGCTTTGGTGCATATCAAGAATACAAATATCAATACCTCAGATGTAGGTGTTTGGATTAAGCAACCCCTTAGTTCCTGTAATTACCAGATTTCTGATGGTCCCAAAAATTACTCCTGGTTATGGATCCATCATCTTTATCTGCTGCTCTGTCCATAAAGAGTTGTTTCCCACCATGGCTATGCTTTCTAAGAAACTTTCATCTGGACTGTTTTGTCCAGTTTAGCTCATATGCAGTCTACATGGGACATAAATTCACCCAGGTGCCTGCCTCGCACCTGGGTTTTCAGGGTTATTCTTCATCTTACATCCTGCCCCCAGCTCCAGCATTCTGAAAATCACTCCCATTGCAGTGTATGTCAGTAGTGGCAAAGATTAAACTTCCAAATTGGTTAGGATTTGGTGACAGCTGTCAGAGCTTCTTTCTGAGTGGTGAGGCACCCTGGAGGAGGACCGCTGTTCTGAGCCTGTGTCTGCTACTAACCTGCTTCCTGGGGTGCCTTACTGGAGAAGGGGTCTTCTCTAGTTGGGCTTCCACCCTTTGTACACTTGCTTACCTCATGTCACACTCTAGAGCTGAGGTGAATTTTGGCAACCACATCCAAAAATGTGTTATTAGTCTCTTGGGAGCATTGCCACCGTCATATAGGGAGAGATCAGCCTGCATCCGAGGCAGGTGTTTACAAGAAGATGGTAATGAGTCAAGCAGCAATCACATTACACGGTGCATTTCAGAAATCTGGTGAATGATTAGATGCTTAAAAGATATTACAATGAAAGATGTGGTCCGTCAATCTCCTCACCGCAAACACACTCATCCCACCATTCTTGACACTTTCTAAAGCAGTTCTAGAAGTCTTCTTTCCTGCGTGTTTTTAGTTTTGCTGCTGTGACTGCCTTGGTGTTCTAAATAGATGCAAAATATCGACCTCTTAGGATTATTTTGATGTGGTGGAAGAGTCAGCAGTCACACCGTGCCAGATCTGGTGAATAACGTGAATGAGAACACGTGGCAATGTTTTCACAGCCTGTCTTTCCATTGGTTGGCACTGGGAGCAGCATTTACCATATTTTTGACCAAGACATTCTTAAAGACACTCATGAAAAAAGACTTCCAGAGCTGCTTCAGAAAGTGACGAGAATGACAGAATAATTATTTTAAGTGCGGAAGAATTTGGGGGGGCAGTGCGGATTAGTGGTGATATGTCTCTTAATATAATACATTTTTTTAATTTAAACATTCACCTATTTTAATCAACCCGTGTATATTTAGGAAACATTTCAACCTAAGTAAACCAATTGCAAGAAACATTATTTTTGTACTGTTCTGCATTGTGTTATTATATCACTAAATACAAAGAAGGAAGGATATTCATGTTTGAATTTGTATGTATGTTGAAGTAGGAGTTTGTGGGTCCCAGAAAGTTACACATATATTTATACAAAACATATTTATTTATATTAAGTTTTGAAGTGTTGTTAGGTCACACCATGCTTCACTTCTGGCAAAAAATAATAAGCTTGACCTTCATTAAAGAGCCATAATAGATGCTACACAAGGAAATGGTTGCAGTCAGGGTGTTTGGGGATCACAAAATAATATTTGTGAACATTTTTCTATGCATGTGGCGAGTCTCGTGTAGTTCTATGATATTCTTTGCATTGTTTCTAACCCAGATTATCATGCATGGTGTCCCGTGTTGCTCCGCCAGGTTGATTATGTAAACTCCTGATTTGCCTCTCCACCTACATCAGTTCCGAGTGTCTAGCATCCATCTTTGCCTTCCTTATGCTCCTTTACTTAGAGTAAGACACTGTTTCCTGGGACCTGCATCCTTCTGGTAACTTAAGTCTCCCCTTTTCATGTTTTCAAGGATGGGAGGAACAGTTTTATTGGACATCAGCTGGGCGGGGTAGTGGAAGTGCCCAACAGCAAGGACCAGCGGGTCAAGTCTGCCAGAGCCATTCAGATCACCTACTACCTCCAAACCTACGGCTCTGCCACCCAAGACCTCATCGGGGAAAAGTGGGAGAATGAGTTCTGTAAGCTTGTGAGGAAGCTCCAGGAGGAGCACCAAGACCTCCAGCTCTACCCTCTCGCATCCTTCAGTCTCTGGAGAGACTTTCATAAGACCAGCATCCTAGCCAGAAGCAAGGTGCTGGTGAGCCTCGTGCTCATCCTGACCACAGCCACGCTCTCCAGTTCCATGAAGGATTGTCTGCGCAGCAAGCCCTTCCTGGGCCTGCTGGGGGTGCTCACCGTGTGCATCTCCCTCGTGACGGCAGCAGGGATCTTCTTCATCACGGATGGGAAGTACAACTCCACCCTGTTGGGAATCCCGTTCTTCGCCATGGGTAACTATCCATCCTTGTGGTAATCGGATTCTTGCCATTTGGTGGCAAGGTAGTACATTTCTTGAATTCTTAGGTGGAAATTTTAATTTTGCACTGGTGTGTCTGTGTGATGATGTGAAATGTTTCTTGGGACTGTCTGTTTCACCACATTGTGCCTTTCCAGGAATTATGGGAAGACTACACCACCTTGCCCTTTAGTTTAATGCTTTCAAATGTTTTTTAATTTGTACTACATTGGAATACTCTACTCAGCTTCCTCAAAGAAAAAAATGGAAAGCCAGAGGTCCTGGGAGATGGAATTAAGGAGATATAAGATTTATTTCCAATTTAATTTAGTGTCTCATATTTACGAGCATCCTCACTGGCAGCAGTAAAGAACAATTGTCATGGAAAGACAATTCTGAGGACCCTTGATGTATCCTTGATACATCCTGATATTTCCCAAGTAAACTTTGGTTGTTTCATTTCAAAGTTTTTGCATAGAACACTTTCCACTCCCTTGCTTTACACAAGGCGAAATCTCCCAGATGCCTCTGAGCTGCAACCTCTAATTTTATTCACCTCTAATGAAAATAGTTCATGGGCACCCTCAGTCAAAATTATCTACTCTTGTGAGTTTTCCTCCAGCCATACATGAGTGACTTCCCAAGAATACATACACACTGTGCACGTGTCTCTGGGTGTATGTGTGTTCTTGTGAAACAGAAGATAAAGTCTGAGAATAGAAGTGAGTGAGGATGCAGCAAGGACACTGGGGAGGTCATGGTGACCTCGATGGTGACACAGAGGTGCTGTGTGGTGAGGTGTGATGTCTGTGTGAGGTGATTTAGAAATGAGCCTCTAGGTGCTGAGCTGACATGAGCAAAAGAGTAATCACTGCGACTCCTCGACTTCACATTAGTTGTAAATTAGTTTATTATTAAATGAAAAAAAATGCCAGCATGTGATCCAAAGAGTCTAAGCCATAGCCATGCTCCTTTTTTTTAATCACCTCCTCAAATATCTTTGAAATTGAAAACACAAAGAGAACTCATTGTGTGGATGTTAGTTAAGACTTCTTTACTGGTGAGCCCAACTTGAATTTGGCCCAGTTTTTAAATTAATTTATTTCAGCAGGGTCCGGTGGCATAAACCCAAAATTCCAACTATCAGGAATCTGAGGCAGGAGAATCAGATCACAAACTGAACATCAGAATGGGCAGCTTAGCAAGACCCCGTTTCAAAAATTAAACAAAGATGGAGATGTAGCTCAGTGCTCCCTGGGCTCAATCCCCAGAGGATAGACATACAGAGAGAGAGGAGAGAGAGAGAGAGAGAGAGAGAGAGAGAGAGAGAGAGAGAGAGAGACAGACAGAGACAGAGAGACAGAGAGACAGAGAGAGACAGAGACAGAGAGAGACAGAGAGAGACAGAGACAGAGAGACAGAGAGTTCATCTTCTGAAGTTTTATTTTGTCCTTGTATATGATTTGGGGAAAATAATTTTAATCTTCAAATGGTTATTTTTAAAATGTAACAGAATATAATTGTTGCTCCTAACACATAATAACTAGTAAGTATCAGCAAGTCCCTTCATAGTGTTAGTCTGGTGTGTCAAGTACAGAGAATTTTGTGGTAAGCAGGCATGGACTTTCGTGTGAAGGAACAGAGCCTCTTAGGCTTAGCATACCACCTCTCAGTGCAAATCCACCTTGCTAATAACAAGAGTCTTTGCTTTCCCCAAATAACTGCATGACCATCTTTTGTTACCACTGATAAAGAGCAGACTGGAAACCATTTAAACTTGTTATGTTTTATAGGTTCAGTCTCAGGACTTGAGATAGTAAGATGTGTCAGAATTGCACAGTTTGATCACAAAGGAAATGAGGCTTCTCAAGGTTCACAGACTGAACTCCTTGGAACCCAGAAGGGCTCCTTCTAAAATTAACAAAATAATGGACAGATTTTTCACAAAAAAGATAACGTATATTCTGTATAAATTGGGAGAAGCACTGCCCTACCAATGCTGGGTTGATACATTGTCTCCACAAGGTCACAGCTATGTTCTTATTCTATAAACAAAAACAAAGAACCCTGACCACCACAATGAGGAAAAATCTCTGACTTTGCAACACACACTTTGCTCCTCCTAGGGCCCTTTAAAACCTGTTGCCAACCCTGGATAGGGTAGTGCAGATTTGGCAGCTGCAGTTCTGAAAGAAACATTTCTGCTCTGTTCTGAAATCATCACAGTGAGAAATCCTTAAGAGTTTTGTTCTACCAGTGGGGAATTTGCTTTGCTGTTCTTTGTTTTGTCTACAAAATGGTTCTACTAGTAAAGCTCAGGAGATTGAGAAATGGTGGTGTGGAAGGGATTAGAATGCCTGGATTCCAATCCCCATTTTTCTTGCAACTTTGTGTTGCACTGAGCAGTTGTGTATAGGCCCTTTGTCTAGGTCTTCACATATAAAATGAAGCTGGGGGTCGAGCTGGGGGTGGTGATACATGCTTGTAATCCCAGCACTACTTGGGAGACTGAGGCAAGAGGATCATTGCGAGTTCAAGATCAGCCTGGGCTACACTAAATGAGCTTAAGGCCAGTGTGAACTGCGTAGGGAGATCCTGTCTCAAGAAGATACAAAAAATAGTAATAATAAAAAATAAAATAAAGAATTTGGACTAATCACTCTGACATTTTGAATTTAAAGGAATATTAGTCATTTTCTTGTTTTATTGAAGTTGCAATTTGATCATTTCTTTATAAAAAATTTTTAGAGTATATACTAGCCTTATACCTCTCATCTCTAATATCTAAACTCCTTTGTTGCCTTCCCTTCTGGGAAAGAGAGAGACATAAGAAAAAATCACAGCTTTGCCCTCAGAGCCTCAGACACACAAGGTCAGTGAAGATGGGGAGACAGAATGTAATGAAAAACACAAACAAACTGAGCTTGAAAGGTGCATGTCTGCCCTACCTGCAGTGCTGTATCCATGACACTGCATGAGGCCAGTCCTTTGGTGAGTTGCCATTTGCATGATGGTGAACTACATAGAGTCAGATGGATAGAAAGGAAGCTCTTTTGCAGACCTGTTCCCATCCTAACTTCATATGAAGATGTATCTGAGTGGGGGTGAATGTGTGCTGTTTTGTGCCCAGGCTGGAAATCTTCACCCTTGTCAACACAAACTAAACAGTAAAGCTGATTTGTGGCTACTCATCCAGTTAATATTTTAATGCCCTTTCAGAGACATGTTCTATGAATAAATAGCTAGAGCTATTAGACTTTGTCCTGGCTTTCCCAAAAGTAAATTTTTATTTGTCAAATTATATGTTCTAGTTTTGGGGGATTTAGCAAAGAAGATAATGATGATAGTCTTTCTCGAAATGTAGTCAGAGATAACTCTAAGATTAGAATACAAATTTCAAGTTACTTGAAATCATTCAGCTCCAGCCTAACGTCCTTTATTGAAGCACAAACCAAGGAGAGTGCCACTAATTTAATTTATAGCTCATTGCCAGCCTTTTTAGTTCTCACCTCGTTCACCCCCCTCCACGCTCTCAGGGGATGTGCTTCATCTGTCTGTCTGCAGGAAGAAATACAGGCTAACAGTCCACCCAGAGCCTAAGCTGGCACAGGCTGCACCACGCTGGTCTTCCGTAGGTAGCCGTCAAGGCACTGGGAACCATGGCGCCCTCGTGTTTTTCTCAGTTCATTCCGAGCTTGCATTACACGCTGCAGGTTTCCTCCTAGACACACACAGGTGACTGGCTTTGCTGGTGATCTCAGCGTTTCCAGATACAAGGTTTTACCTTTCTGCACCTGAATCCCATTGCCATCTACTTATTCACTGATTTAAATTTTTATTAAACATTGCCTGTGTTCAAGGAATTCTGGGTCCTGGACCAAACTAGTCAAGTCGTTACCCTCCAGGATGTTTACAATTTGGGATTGAAGAGGGGAGGAATAAGACACCAAATATAAATAGAACAAAACTATGTTCTATTGTTGATAGGTGATGTGAAGCATAAGAATAAAGCGGACAGGAGGCCATAGGTGACCACAACAAAAATTAGCCTTTGTGAAAAATAAAATTGAATGAGACATAAATGAAAGGAAAGAGGAGCCATGTAGCAACCTAAAGAAAGACTGTTTCTGGCCACAGGGTACACATGCAAAGACTCGGAGGTTGTGTTCCCCAGAGAAACTGAGAAAAAACAAGAGACAGCAGGGCTGTATAATACAGTGGGCAACTGTGTGAGGTTTGGAAGTAGCATGGGAGTAGGCATGTGGGTTGCAAGAAGTGAGGACTTCAGGTGTCCATCTGGATGATTTGGAAAGCTATCAGAAGCATCATGCAACAGGAAGGTGTGTTCTGACTTGCATTTTAAAGACTTCTTTGGTTCTAATATATAAATTAGTCTGAGATAGGGAAAGAATATTTTATGGGGTGACTATCTAAGAAATTATTGCCCTACATGTCCATTGACATATTAATGAATAAAGAAAATATATATGCATATAATGGAATATTAGTCCTTAAGAAAAATGAAATCATGCATTTGCAGCAAAGTGGGTAGAAGTAGAAACCATCATTAAATGAAAGTTAACTAGACTCAGGAAGTTAAATATTGCATACTTTCTCATATCAAATTTAAAAAATTAATAAATAATTAAAGGCGAGAGGATTGAAAACCAGGAAGTGACTTCTGAAGACAAAGATGAGAAGTAAAGGAAAAATGAATTGGAGAAAGGAGAAATGGAATTGAAATTGGCTAAGAGAGGTTAAATCCATGTATCAACCTTCTAAAATCAGCTCCAACATCATATAAGATTAATACACACTAATAAAGTATAACAAAAAATAATTTATTGCAAATTCTCCTGAGCTATAATGATGGTATAAAGTAGTGTGGGGGTAGCATGGAGAAAAGGGATTAGACTCAGATCATATATCTGGGAATAGATTTGAAGGGTTTGCTGAAGGCCTGGATGTGAGTAGGTAAGCAACTGCTGTTTCCTG